AGAGAGCATCAGAGTCCTTGGTAAGAAGGAACTGATCCCAAATTATCACCTCCCGGGAAACAACTGAAGTACAAGTGCCAAGAGAATAATGCCTTGCTGTTGGGATCCAACTTCAGTTTCAGAGGGTTTAGATTGTAATGAGTCTCTGCTTCCACATATCTAGTTGGTTTCTATAATGGTTTGGTTCTGTTCTGAGCTGTATTCCCCAGGCCCCAACCTTAAAGGGCAATTGGGGGGGGGGGGGGGCCTGGGTAGCTCAGTTGGTTAAACATCTGACTCTTGGTTGCGGCGCAGGTCATGATCTCACGGGTGGTGAGATCAAGCCCTGTGTCGGGCTCTGTGCTGAGAGTTCGAAGCCTGCTTGGGACTCTCTCACTCCCTCTCTCTGCTTCTCCCCTGCTCATGCTCTCTCTCAAAATGAATGAACTTAAAAAACAACAAAGGGTGTTTTTTAAAATTAACTGGATTTGAGAAGCAGATACCTAAGAGACCCAGAAAGCAGGTCACCAGCTGTTTAGGTCTGGTTTCAGCTGTCATCAGATGAAACGTTAGTCCTGTGCTCTGATTTAGCGAATGACAATTTATGAGATCAGCCTGACCTCTATGGAGAACAGACATGATATTGTTTTTTTCCATTTTTCCCAAAAGCCGGTTCACCGGCTTTGTTGTTAATAATGTATAAAAGATTACCTGAATCTGAGATGTCACAGCGAAACTATCAGGTCAGCATTTAGAAGCAACCTTCTTTTTCCAAGGCCAGGAAAGTCACGCTAGGAGCTATTCTAAGGTCACATCTTGACCCCACCGACAGGATCATGAGCAACACCCCTGATGCCACAAGCTTTCCGGGAAGGTCTGACTTTGTATCCCTAAGCACTGCCTAAGTGACGTTAGTGTTCAAGAACCCACCGGGCAACAGACACCCACCTCACTGCTGTCACTTTTTTTAAAGTTCATTGCCACTGTGAAGGAAAAGTGGTGTGGACGAATGATCGCCTCAGCTACCATTTTAAGAGAATGTGTAACGGGGTGCCTGGGTGGCTCGGTCGGTTGAACGTCTGACTCTTGATTTTGGCTCAGGTCATGATCCCGGGGTCGCGAGACGAGCCCCATGTCGGGCTCTGTGCTGAGTGTGGAGCCTGCATGAGATTCTCTCTCTCCCCCTTTACCCCTCTCCCCAGCTTGCTCTCTGAATGAATGAACGAATGAATGAATGAATAAATAAAATGTAAAATGAACAAGGATATAGATTAAAAAAACAGCTCACGACCGGGGTGCCTGGTGGCTCAGTCAGTTAAGCGTCCGACTTTTGGTTTCAGCTCAAGTCATGATCTCATGGTTTGTGGGTTAGAGCCCCACACTGGCCTCGGTGCTGAGCATAGAGCCTGCTTAAGATTCTCTCTCTCTCTCTCTCTCTCTCTCTCTCTCTCTCTCTCTCTCCCCCTCTCTCCCTCCTTCCCTCCCTCCCCCTGCTCCCTCCTCTGCTTGCACACGCGCTCATTCTCTTTCAAATTAAAAAATTAAAAAAAAAACAAAACCTTAAACCCTTCTTAAAGGATCTAAGATTTAAAAAAAAAAAAAAAAAAAAAGAATTCCACAGAACGACTCTACAATCCAGCAATTGCACCATGAGGTATTTACCCAAAGGACACAAAAATACAGATTCAAAGGGGTACATGCACCCTAATGTTTATAGCAGCATTATCAACAATAGCTAAGCTATGGAGACAGCCCCAAATGTCCATCGACTGATGAATGGATAAAGAAGATGTGGTGTGTGTGTGTGTGTGTGTGTGTGTGTAGATATATGTGTACACACACACACACACACACACACACACACACACACACACTGGAATATTACTCAGCCATCGAAAAGAGTGAAATCTTGCCATCTGCAACAACGTGGATGGAACTAGAGTGTATGATGCTAAGTGAAATAAATCAGTCAGAGAAAGATAGATATCATATGGTTTCACTCATATGCGGAACTTAGGAAACAAAACAGATGAACGTATGGGGGAAGGGAGAGGGAAAAAAACCACAAGAGACTTAACTATAGAGAACAAACTGAGGGTTGATGGAGGGAGGTGGGCAGGAGATGGGCTAGATGGGTGATGGGTACCAAGGAGGGCACTTGTGATGAGTAGTGGGTGTGTTGTATTTAAGTGAAGAATCAATGAATTCTACTGCTGAAACCAATATTGTGCTGTATATTAACTAAAATATAAATTTTTAAAAATTCCATAGATACCAAAGTATTTACAAATAAAATAACACGGTATCAGGGATAACTGGCAACGTTGATAATGATGCACAGGGGTTCTTTATACACATCTATTTTATATAGTACATTCAAAAAAAAATTTTTAAGTTTTATTTATTTAAGTAATCTCTACACCCAATGTGGGTTTCGAACTCACAACCCCGAGATGAAGCGTTATATGCTCTTCGGACTGAGCCAGCCGGGCGCCCCTCAACATTGTTTCTTAATCAAGTAGGAAAAAGCACTTCTTAGTTCAAACAAACTGCATGTGTGTGCACATGTGTACGCATGATGATCAGGAAAACGTGAGCAGTGACTGATATCCATAATGTTAAGGCATTACTGTTAATAATTTTAAGCGTGAGCATGGTACTCTAGTTATGATCTTTTGAAATGAAATAGTTACAGATGAAAAAACACCTGGGATTTGCTTCAAGATAAGCCAAGGCAGGGGGAGGCAGTGGGGAGGAGTTAAAAAAAGACTGGCCACAGGGCACCCGGGCAGCTCAGTTGGTTAAGTGTCTGACTCCTGATCTCAGCTCAGGTCTTGGTCTCAGGGTCGTGAATTCAAGCCCCATTGTTGGGTTCCACACCGGGCATGGAGTCTACTTTAAAAAAAAAAAAAAGACTGGCCACATATCAACAACTGTCAATGCTGGGTGACAGACATATTGCTGTGATTATACTCTGCCCTCTGCTCTTGTATAGATATGAAATTTTGCATAATAAAAACTTTGGAAACATAGGTTTGCCATTCCAATTTCTGTACTCATCCCGCCTATCTCATGAGGCTTTATAAAGACTACATGAAATGAAGGAAAACAAGTGAATGGAATTAAATGACCAGAAATGCTGCTCTTTATTTTCGCCGCTGGTGGGACACAGGGAAGAAAGCAGTGGGCTTGAGATTTAAAAATTCTGACTGATTGGGGCACCTGGGTGGCTCAGTCCGTTAAGTGTCCGACTTGAGCTCAAGTCACGATCTCACAGTTCGTGAGTTCAAGCCCCATGTCGGGCTCTGTGCCGATAGCTTGGAGCCTGAAGCCCGCTTCGGATTCTCTGTCTCCCCCCCTCTCTCTCTCTGTCCTGTCCACACTTGTGCTCCCTCTCTCAAAAATAAATAACGAACATTAAAAAAAAATTCTGGGGGCATCTGGGTGGCTCAGTCGGCTAAGCGTCTGACTTTGTCTCAGATCACGACCTCATAGTTCATGATTACAAGCCAAGCGTCAGGCTCTACGCTGACAGCCCAGAGCCTGGAGCCTGTTTCAAATTCTGTGTCTCCCTCTCTCTCTTCCCCTCTCCTGCTCGCTCTTTCTCTCAAAAATAAACAAACATTAAAAAACACTGTTTTTTAATCTGAGTCATTATGCTGATCATCAGTTTCTCAGTGATGCCCTTCATCACCGGCTTCCCTCTCTTAACTAGAAGGTCCCTTTTTCTTTTTTAACGTTTTTATGTATCTCGGAGAGTACGCTGGTGGGGGAGGGGCAGAGAGAGAGGGAGACAGAGGATCTGAAGCAGGCTCTGTGCCAAGAGCAGCCAGCCCGAGGTGAGGCTCGAACTCACGAACCACGAGATCATGACCTGAGCCGAAGTCGAATGCTCAACTGACTGAGCCACCCAGGTGCCCCTCAACTAGAAGCTCCTTAAAGACAGAAACCCTGTCCATCTTGTTCGACATAGTGTCCTGGGCAATAAGTCCAATGCCTGGTATGAAAAAATAAAGCTGAGTTCAAGTTCCTGTTCAGCAATGTGGAGCGGGGACTGTGACTGTTCTATTCTGCACCCAACCTCAGCGCTGCGGTGCAATCGGTATTTGTGGTATGGTGCTGGACGGTTTACTTAACCTCCCCAAGCCTCAGGCTCCTCCTCTGTAAAATGGAAATAAAGTCTATCTCAATAAGCTGATCTGACCTGTAGCCACTTCATGCGGCCATTCATTTGTTCCACATTTATTGATTCTAAAAGTCCTACAGAAAGTAATAGTCCATCATTACCATAAACAGAATAGTAATAATAAAGTGACACAAACATTAGATAAATGTAAATACCCATTCAACAATTATTTATGGAGTTTCTACTGTGTTCTAGGCACTGTGCCACATGCTAGGGGTAACTATGAAAGTAAGTACGGTATGATCCTTGTTTTTGAGGAAGTTTTCAATCAAATGGGTGAGAGGAGAGAGAACACGATCACAATGTGAATTGGTAAGTGACATACCAGAGTAAAACAGGAACATAGCACATTCCCTCTGGGGACATTCTCCTACCCAAGTTGGTTTCAGGAAAGAAATCGGTTCACTTCCCAAAGTTATAAATGTCAACTCCCAAATTAAAACCACCATGAGGTATTTCACTTTCACTTATTCACTGCAATAAGGCTATAGATTCTCTCTAAAGAAGCCAGCCAATGCTGGAAATCTTCCAAAGGAATTAGATCCTTTTGTTTTTCTGGGTTTTTGCCAGCAGTCCAAACCAAAAGAGCCAAATGGAGCTATTGGCTCATCCGTTTAATATTAACTGCCAACTCCCTTCTCCCAGAACACAATGCCCTTCTATTTCAGAGAAGCCCCCTCAGCAACTTGTTCCATGTCAATCAATGGCTGAATTAAGAAAGAGCACAGATTCAATTCTTTCAGATCCAATTCCAAATACAGGGCCAACTTCTCTCTCATTAAAAATAGGATTTAATAACTCATGCAAAAAAAAAAATTTTTTTAAAATAACTTACCTCAAATTCTTCCCAAAAGCCTTGTTTGACTTTATCTGTGGTCTCAGCTAATTTGCTTAGTTCTCGAACCCGGCTTTCTATTTCAGCAGCATTGATGCGTGTTGTGTTGAGGGGCTAATCAAATTCAGCAGTTGGTGTGAAATGAATAAAGTATTATTAAAAAAAAAAAGTGTTAATACCAAAAAAAAAAAAAAAAAGAGTTCCATCTTGATATTTGTAAGGCAAGGACAGGAAATTCAAAGGATATAGTAATTCACAACAAAAGTTTTCAAATACAGTTTCACTTTTCTGTTTTGTCAGAAAATGTATCTTTCTTCAATCCCCACACACACTTTACTCTGCTGATATAAATTCAAACCTATTTTTCTTCAGAAATCGATCCCAACATTATTTGGGGAGATGATATAATTTGCCACTAGGTGCTAAGAGGGAACTCTGAAGTAGCAGTAACTGCAAAGGGAGTAAGTGTAATCACTCAAAGTAAACCAAAGGGAGGCCTAGAACGAACACTTGGTAAAAGCTTGCCTTAGAAACTCCATAAAGCCTTTTAGAGATACACCTGGAGGTATCATGGAAATGACATAATACCTGGAATTCGTTTCCAAATACCCCAGGGGAAGAGCAGTGGAGTGCGGTAACAATGAAACAAGATTTTTAAGTTGATCACAATTGAAGCTGGGTGATGGGTGTATGGAGGTCCATGATACTATTCTACTTCTGTATATTTAGAATATTCTGTATCAGGATTTTCTAAACTCCGTAAGGAGATGAAGCTTTAGCTTTCTAATATTCTCACCTGCTTGAGTTGTAGCACTGTGCCCAATGTTTCCACCATGGGGTTCTTCTTGTAATGCTCCACGAGATCTGTCAAAGAGTCAAACCGTTCTCCTCCACCAACATCATATTTCAGTTCCTTTCAAGACCAAAAAAAAGAAAAAAATCCTATTACCTTTACGTCAAATTATTATTTTTCCCAGCCGAAGTACAGAGACTGACTCTCCCCCAAAGAAAAAATGGCTGTCGTAGTACAAAGGAGAGAGAGCAAGGATGATGGAACAGGAAAGGCAGACTCAATAGGAAAGAGCTCACCGTGGGGTGTGAGATCTAAGTATCCCTCAGCACCAGGGGCACAAAAGCCTCCCCTTCATACGTTAACTAAGTAGGTTAAAGAAACGAAAAACAGCATTATTTACTATTTACTTACACTCTAGGCTAAGCAACCATACGGCAGGCTGCTGAAGAGAAGGTAAATAACAATCTCTCTCTGAAATGCAACAAACTCCAAGGCTGGCTAGGCAGCACTGAAGCCCCAACACCCATGTCTCTATTTTCCTCTTCTAATGAAACTTTAAAAGGGAAATTATAAACAGAGACCAGGAAATTTTCTCTGACAAAAAGATCAGAATAGGCGACTTCAGGGAAACAACAGGAAAACAGTTAAACTCAGAAAATGCAAAACCCCAAAAATTAAATATGAAGATGTCTGGGTATGATCTTTTATTTAAAAATAAAACTGCGGGGGCGCCTGGGTGGCGCAGTCGGTTAAGCGTCCGACTTCAGCCAGGTCACGATCTCGCGGTCCGGGAGTTCGAGCCCCGCGTCAGGCTCTGGGCTGATGGCTCGGAGCCTGGAGCCTGTTTCCGATTCTGTGTCTCCCTCTCTCTCTGACCCTCCCCCGTTCATGCTCTGTCTCTCTCTGTCCCAAAAATAAATAAATGTTGAAAAAAAAAATTTTTTTTTTAAATTAAAAAAAATAAAATAAAATAAAACTGCGGTGGGGAGGGGGAGAAGCACTTTCAGAATGACAAAGGACAGACCTCTGAAAATCCATTCTTCCATAAAAGCAACAAAAATACTGGTAAAAACTGTCACCGACTTCTTCAGAACTCTGAAAATTAACCAAGGACTTGCACCAGTCCAAGGAACATTTATTTGAGAAAAATGATTGAATCTTGGTAAGGAGCAAACCGTGGCATTCTAACTTGCCCTCTCTTCCCATGCACCTCTCTCTTTCAGTAGCCTTGAAAACCAACAGCCTCATAACCACAGTAGCTGCGAGAGCCAGCAACACAGCATAGCCAGAGGGGACAGAATGGATTTGGAACCCTCTCAAGGGACCTATCCCCGGAGAATATTCCCTGCAGGCACACCTTGCTTTATTGCACTTCACTTCACTGTGCTTTGTGCTTTGCGCTTTGCGGATACGTTATTTTTTACAAATTAAAGGTTTGTGGCAACCCTGCATCCAGAAAGTCTATTGGCACCATTTTTCCAACAGTATTTGCTCACTTTGTGTCTCTGTGTCGCGTTTTGGTAATTCTTCCGATGTTTCCACTTTTTCATTATTACTATATGTGTCACGGAGATCTGTGATCAGTGATTATGACTTCCTGAAAGCTCAGATGATGCTTAGTGTTTTTAGCAACAAAGCATTTTTTAATTAAGGTTTGTTGTCCGTTGTTTTCTAGACATACTGCAACTGTACACTGAATAAGATACAGTATAGAATAAACAGAACTTTTATATGCACAGGGAAACCCAAAAAACTCATTTGACTTGCTTTGTTGCAATATTCACTTTACTGCAGTGGTCTGGAACTGAACCCATAATATCTCTGAGATATACCTGTATTGGGCCTGCTTAGCAGCTCCCTGGAAAAGCCCTGTTTTCAGAGCTTATGTTTACTTGACCTGACTTAGAGTTCACTCAGCCCTGTCTTCAGGGGATCTGCCAAAAACAATCAGCAGCAACTGTTTAATATCAGAGCAGCCTGAGGCAGCAATACCAACCAGTTAAAGCAAATAAGAGACTGACCAAAACGGAAAAAGGAAAATCTGGGTGATGTCCACATAGGGCTTGGAAAACCTCTAACATAGAGAGGCAAAACAAGAAACAAACTCTTAACTGTAGAGAACAAACTGATGGTTACCTGAAGGGAGGTGGGTGGGGAGAAAGGTTAAAATAGGTGATGGGGATCAAGGAGTGCACTTGTTGTGATGAGCACCAGGTGTTACACGGAGGTGTCGAATCACTATATTGTACACCTGAAACTAATTATTACGCTGTATGTTAATTCACTCGAATTTAAATCAAAAGTTAAAAACAACAACAACAACACCTGTAACATATTCTTGAGAATCCAGAGGGCTATGTGGCTGTGCAGGGCTGTGTGAAGCGTAGGGAAGATCCAAGAAATCCCTTATCTTTACCTCTTGTTGACCTTGAGGTTATGCACAAACAGAAGGTGAAGGCTAAGCCAGAGTTGGAATCGGCCAGAGCGCTCAAAGTATGCCCCAACACACACCCACACACACAGAGCCCTCCCTGCTCTCCCCCTGCCCCCGGTAAAGGCTAGGAGACTAACCACGCAAAGACTTCAGTGGCTACACATAGCAAAGAATACAGGAAAATCATGGAACACAGAAAGAGTAACAACTACAGCAACAATAAAAAAGTAGCGACAGCAAACCCTGGAAAAGCCGGCGTCTGATTTCCAGAGTCCTCACACTGTATCACTTAAAATGTCTAGTTGCAAACAAAAAAAAAAATATGAAACATGCAAAGAAACAGGAAAGTACGGACCAAACATGGGGGAGGGGAGAACACTTAATAATAGAAACTGTCCTTGAAAAAGCCCACATAAAGACTTGAAATCAGCGAGTATAAATATGTCCAAAGAACTAAAGAAAACTTACTTTATAAATTAAAAGAAAATGGGAGGATGTTGTCTCATCAAATAGAGAATATCACAAGAACCCGTACACAAATGTTTACGGCAGCATTATTCACAATAGCTAAAATGCCCATCCATTTTTAACGGATAAACAAAATCTACTCTAGGGGCGCCTGGGTGGCGCAGTCGGTTAAGCGTCCGACTTCAGCCAGGTCACGATCTCACAGTCTGTGAGTCTGAGCCGCGCCTGAGGCTCTGCGCTAGCACTGCAGAGACCACTTGGGGTTCTCGCTCTGTCTCTCTCTCCGACCCTCCCTGCTCGCTCTTGCGCTCTCAAAAAATAAAATTGTTTTGGGGCGCCTGGGTGGCGCAGTCGGTTAAGCATCCGACTTCAGCCAGGTCACGATCTCGCGGTCCGGGAGTTCGAGCCCCGCGTCGGGCTCTGGGCTGATGGCTCAGAGCCTGGAGCCTGTTTCCGATTCTGTGTCTCCCTCTCTCTCTGCCCCTCCCCCGTTCATGCTCTGTCTCTCTCTGTCCCAAAAATAAAAAAAAATAAAAAAACGTTGAAAAAAAAAAACAAAAACAAAATCTACTCTAACCACACAATGGAATATTTGACAATAGAGTTTATTGACACACAGGACAATATGGATAAACCTTGAAGACATTATGCAAAGTATAAGAAGCCAGACACAAAAGCCATGTTACATAATTCCACCTATACGAAACATCTAAAATAGGCAAATCCATGAGAACGAAAAGTAGATTAGTGGTTGCCAAGAGCTGGAGAGAGGGGAAATGATGGGGAGTGACTGGGAATGGACACAAGGTTTCTTTTCGGGGTGATGAAAAGGTTCTGGAATTAGTGTCGGTGATTGCATCGTATGTGAACATACCAAAAACCACTAACTGCTTTAAAAGGGCGAAATTACATGGTATGTGAGTTGTACCTCAATAAAGCTGTTTTTTAAAATATTTATGTAATTAAAAACATTTTTTTTTGAATGTTTATTTTTTTTTTTAATTTTTTTTTTTCCCCAACGTTTATTTATTTTTGGGACAGAGAGAGACAGAGCATGAACGGGCGAGGGGCAGAGAGAGAGGGAGACACAGAATTGGAAACAGGCTCCAGGCTCTGAGCCATCAATCAGCCCAGAGCCCGACGCGGGGCTCGAACTCCCGGACCGCGAGATCGTGACCCGGCTGAAGTCGGACGCTTAACCGACTGCGCCACCCAGGCGCCCCTTGAATGTTTATTTTTTGAGACAGAGAGAGACAGAGTATGAGCGGGATAGGGGCAGATAGAGAGGGAGGCACAGAATCCAAATCAGGCTCCAGGCTCTGAGCTATCAGCACAGAGCCCGACACGGGGCTCGAACCCACGAACAGTGAGATCACAACCCGAGCTGAAGTTGGATGCTCAACCAAGTGAGCCACCCAGGCGCCCCTGAATTTATGTAATTTTAAAACTGAAGCAGTAAGTGAACAGTTTCTATTTAAGAAACTATGTCAAAACCAAGTTTGACATAGTTGACCAAGAATCCACCTCCTTAGTCCCATCACCACATTAAAAACAAGAAACAGTGAGTTCAATTCTCCGAGCCTGAATGCAGGAACTCTGTAACATGAAGGCAAAGGCAGTCGCAGGCCAGCCTGTGATAGTCCTAAGGAGGAACCGAGGTCACCACTTTAGAACCGTGGAAGAGTGAGGCTGACCGACTCCAGCCGCAACCAAGCAGACACAGATTCGATAGTACAGGGCAGAGGTGATTCACTGAGGCAGGATTTAATCTGCCAGAGGTAGACTGGAAGTAAATAACAAAGTCCTGAAATGGTGAAACAATTATAATAAATAATGTACTAAAAGCATATCGGCCTGTAACTAAACGAGCGAAGAAAATCTGACGTCGGAAGTGATGTCGGTCTTCTGCTGGCAGAAAAGTCACCCAAAGACGACCTTTTGCCAGACCCGTAGTTCAAGTGCGGCTTTACCTGACAGCGGATCATAACGTGGGTCACTTTAGACTTGCCATCGTTGCTTTCCCCTTTGTCATCACCAGTTCGGACAGAGAGAACAAAATCTCCAGGATGGCTCTGGCTCTCTCGTACCAGAAAGCTGCCGTGTTTTCCTTTCTCCGTCAATAATTTCTCTGCTTCTTTCCCAGAGAGGTGTCCATGAAACCACCTAAATTTTTTTAAATGAAGATCAATTGGGTTCTGCCATGAGTTCACAGCATTCTTTCACAAAACTGCCATACACAGCGAGCTCCTAAACAATTAAAAAACAGACACAGTCCTCTAAGAGATTGGTCAATCCCGCACAAGGCAGAATTTGCAGCCCAAGCAGGAAGGAAAAATGGCAAAGATGTTAAGAATAACCATTCAACTTTTTAAATGAGCCCACAGTCATTGGGAAACAAATGTCCTCAATCTTTCCTATTTTCGTTTCCATCTCCAGCTTTTAAAAATGCATTTTGTCATTTCTCCATGCCCTACCCTAAAAGGATCAACTATTTAAACACAACCATTTAAAGAAATTAAAAGAGAAAATCATGGTAGAAACAGAAAATCATTTGAATGTTTGCCCTTGCTTTGGTATGTGCAAATTACATAAGAAAGGATTTTCATTATAAATGAAGCATTCCAAATGTTTTAATATGTCCAACCAATACTTTCAACAGCCTCCAAGTTTTCTGTCAATACCTTTGGAGCATACACTGGGCTATCATTTCAAACCCTAATGCACATAACTTCTAGAGCAGGGGTGAGGGATTTTGTTAAAAATGTGAATTCCCATGCCTCACAACCAGAGGTAGTGATACATGAAGTCCAAAGGTGGCCCAGCAACCTGCATTTTCACCCAGCATTCCAGAGTCCTGATGTAGGCCATCAGAGGACAGACTCTGAGACAATAGTACTCCCAGATACTATAAAAAACATCTTGGGGCACCTGGGTGGCTCAGTCGGCTGAGCATCCAATTTCAGCTCAGGTCATGATGGTTTCTGAGTTCGAGCTCCGTGTCGGGCTCTGTCCTGACAGCTCAGAGCCTGAAGCTTGCTTCCGATTCTGTGTCTCCCTCCCTCTCTCTCTCTGCCCCTCCTCCACTTGAGCTCTCTCTCAAAAATAAACAAACATTAAAAAATATATATATATTTTTAAACATCTTAATGGGGTGCCTGGATGGCTCAGTTAGAAGAGCATGTGACTCTTGATCTCAGGGTTGTGAGTTCAAGCCCCATGTTAGGGGTAGAAATTACTCAAATAAAAAAACAAACTTAAAAAAAATCTGAACCTAGTCATATTAATCACGTGGCTTTTTCCCTCAGAATCTTGGTAAGAAGGCAAGCACTATCATGGCAGAGAGTACTAATGGCTCATCACTAGGGGAATATACTTTGAGTTATTTTTCATCCACCCTCAACTGAACAGAGTAAAATTTAGAGATAAACTAAGGTTGCTGACAGCCTTTTGCTTGAAGCTACAGTGGTAGCTGGAGAAACAAACTATCGGCATACAAAGAGGTGCAAACTGAAGAAACCTACCTGAAGATACAAAATATACAAACCTACTTAAGAGACCCTGAATTTGTACTGAGTCAGAGAGGAGACTGGGGCTGTAGAAAACCAATAAAAGCAATAAAAATAGGTCAAGCCCTGGCTTTCATCAGCTTAGTTCCAACACAAGGCAGCAGGGGTGGGGGAAGATCTCTGAAATGACGGAATTTCCTCTAAGCAAGGTCATTCTCCACATTTGTGGATACTACATAAAAGAACTGATGAAAAATCTGACCCTCTGAGCTCTCTGCTTTTCGGCTTCTGAGCTTAAACTGACATCTGTTGGCGGCATTGCTGAATAGCTGGTCAGGAGCTACTACTGAGAAATGGTGCTGTTTTGGCATCTCCATTATCATTTTTCTCTCCTAACTCTCAAAAGATTATCAGCTCAAGTCCAAAAATCCTAAAATTACCGCATGTACCAAGAACATACAGGAATAATCTGAGATCCCTGTAAGGAACACTGATGGACACTTTTACAAGAAAAGGGGGATCTGAAAGGAATCTGATCCCATTTCTTCCTTCGGTAAAACTTTACTTGAAAAGGTTACAGCTTGAGCAACAGATCGAGCCAAACCACCACAAAGCATTCAGAGAACACCTACAGCATGGGAGAGACGCACAGACTCTGGAGTCGCTAAAAGTCACTGACCTTTCAGAGGTAGGGTCTGCACAGTTCAAAGGATATTTGAGCTCAATAACATCTCCATTCTTCTCTTTTAATTGCCCGTGGTGTTCCATGTAATACTGGACCAGCTCAGCCAGAGTGGCAAACTTCTCCCCTCCGTACAGGTCATAGTAATCACCGGTGTTCTGAATCTTGATGTGGGTGACAGCTCCATTTCTTCTAAAATAGTCCATTAGGGGAGAAACGAAAACTAGTAAAGAGCCACGCTAGTAAAAATGGATCTCATAATTCAATAGCAGATTTCACCTAAACGTGGAAACACACCCAAGAAACCAGTTTACATTTCTCCTGTAACAAACGCAGTGAGTCAAAGGACCACGTGGTCAACCATTTCAACACAAAGGGCTCTGTTTATTGGTTCCTTTCCCTTGTACAACTTCTATGTTCAAAGTCTGACCTATCGAGGGCACCTGGCTGGCTCGGTCAGTCAGTGGAGTGTGTGGCTCTTGATCTCTCAGGGTTGGGAGTTCGGGCCCCCCATAGGATGTAGAGATTACTTAAAAATAAAATCTTTGAAAGTCTGGCCTGTCAAACTGCATATATTAAGTGACAATAATTTTCCTCATCATTAAATAATCGAGACGCATATATTAAACATCCATCTATCTTGTAATCTACTAAACCTACTCATTAAGTATTTTGCTCCCCACAAAATGAAACTGTATGGCTATCAAAGACTTGTATAAGAATATTCATTGTAGCCTTATTTGGAATACAAAAATATTGGAAACTCAAATATTTAGCATCAAACTGGATAAATAGTTGTATACTCATACAATAGAACACAACACTGGGGCGCCTGGGTGGCGCAGTCGGTTAAGCGTCCGACTTCAGCCAGGTCACGATCTCGCGGTCCGTGAGTTCGAGCCCCGCGTCGGGCTCTGGGCTGATGGCTCAGAGCCTGGAGCCTGTTTCCGATTCTGTGTCTCCCTCTCTCTCTGCCCCTCCCCCGTTCATGCTCTGTCTCTCTCTGTCCCAAAAATAAATAAACGTTGAAAAAAAAATTTAAAAAAAAAAGAACACAACACAGCAATTAAAAACAAAACAAAACAACACTGATACATACGACACGAACAAATCTCAAAAACATTACATTAAGAGAAAGAAGCCAGGGGATACCTGGCTGGCTCAGCTGGGAGAGTATACACTTGGTCTCAGGGTTGTGAGTTCGAGTCCCATGCTGGGCGTAGAGATTACTTAAAATCTTTGGGGCACCTGGCTGGCTCAGTCAGTTAAGCATCCGACTCTTGGTATAGGCTCAGGTCACAATCTCACAGTTCATGGGTTCATGGATTTGAGCCCCATTGTCAGTTCTGAGTCTGCCTGGGACTCTCTCTCTCCTCTGCCCCCTCCCCTGCTTGCACTCTCTTCTTCTCCCTCTCAAGATAAACATTTTTTTAAAAATCGTTAAAGAAAGAAAAAAAGACAGAAAGAAAGACAAAAAGAAAGACAGAAAGACAGAAAGAAAGAAACAACTATCTCACAGACCACCTATTAATCACAAAAAGAAAGGGGCGCCTGGATGGCTCAGTCAGTTGAGCGTCCAACTTCAGCTCAGGTCAGGATCTCACAGGTCCTGAGTTCAAGCCCCACATCAGGCTCTATGCTGACAGCTCGGAGCCTGGAGCCTGCTTCGGATTCTGTGTCTCCCTCTCACTCTGCCCCTAACCCACTCACATTCTGTCTCTGTCTCTCTCAAAAAAATAAACAAACATTTAAAAAAAAAATGTACTCATAATCACAAAAAGAAAAAGGTGCCTTTACAATGGGAAAATCTGGCAAACACCTCAATCAAGTGATTAAACTGAACACCCCCAAGGGGCTCCTGAGCAGCTCAGTTAGTGACACATCGTACTCTTGATTTCAGCGCTGGTCATGATATCTCATGGTTCGTGAGTCCAAGCCCTACATCTTGCTTGGGATTCTCTCTCTCTCCCTCTCTCTCTGCTCCTCCCCTGCTCTCTCGTACGTGCTCTCTCTCTCTCTCTCTGTTTCTCTCTCAAAAATAAATACGATACAATACAATACAATACAATATAATACAATACAATACAATACAATACAATAAAACAACACAACACAACACTGAACAGCCTTGAAAAATGGGACAAGCAGGCCCCATGTGCTTCCCACTGTGAGATAATGGGGCGGGCCGAACACTGCCCCTGTGGTGCACTTGCCAAAGATGTGTCATCTGAATTTAAAAATGAGGAAACGATCAGCAAATTGAGATTGAAGGACAACCTACAAAATGATTGGTCTGACTGGCCAAAAAGCCAGAAGAGAGAGAAAAATAAGAAAAGGTCAGGAGAGACTAGAAACATAAAAATTGAATGCAATGAATGATCCTTGACTAGATCCTCCTGAATCTAGTGTGGGGTGGCGGGTGGGGCACGAGATGGGACACGGGGTGGGACTCAGACACTTGCAATCACTTCAAAAGCCATTACTGAAATAGCAAGGGAAATCTGAATATGAATATTAGATGGTATTATAGAAGCAAGGTTAAAATGTATTACCTATAATAATGATTTTTTTCAAGATATGGAGTTTCTTTCCTTAATGTTTATTTTTGAGAGAGAGAGAGAGAGAGAGAGAGAGAGCAGGTGAGCAGAGGAGCAGCGGAGAGAGAGGAGGGCAGAGGACCTGAAGGGCTGAGAGCAAGCACAGAGCCCGATGTGCTACTCCAACTCACGAACCGTGAGATCATGACGTGAGCCGAAGTCAGACACTTAACTGAGCCACCCACACGCCCCTCATAACTGAGTCTGTAGTTACACAGGAGAATGTTCTTGTTTATCAGACATAGACACTGAAGTTTTTTTGTTTTGTGTTTCCCAAGGAGGACTCTTGACCAGCGTGGAGCCCAAGACGGGCTCGAACCCATGACCCTGAGATCAAGACCTGAGGATCCGACTCTTGATTTTGGCTCAGATTGTGATCTCATGATTCATGGGTTCAAGCCCTACATCAGGCTCTGCACTAACAGTGCAGTAATAGTGCAGAGCCTGCTGGGATTCTCTCTCTCTTTCTCTCTCTCTCTCTCTCTCTCTCTGCCCCTCCCCCAATTACACCAACTCAAAATAAGTAAATTTAAAATAATAATAAAATAAAATAAAGGTAAAAATAGGGGCACCTGGCTGACTCAGTCAGTGGAGCGAGCAACTCTTGATCTCAAGGTTGTGAGTTCGAGCCCCATGTTGGGTATAGGGATTATTTAACATCACAATCTTTTTAAAAGTTTTAAAACAGGGGCGCCTGGGTGGCGCAGTCGGTTAAGCGTCCGACTTCAGCCAGGTCACGATCTCGCGGTCCGTGAGTTCAAGCCCCGCGTCGGGCTCTGGGCTGATGGCTCAGAGCCTGGAGCCTGTTTCCGATTCTGTGTCTCCCTCTCTCTCTGCCCCTCCCCCATTCATGCTCTGTCTCTCTCTGTCCCAAAAATAAATAAACGTTGAAAAAAAAAATTAAAAAAAATAAAATAAAATAAAATAAAAGTTTTAAAACAAAGTAAAAAATACATTGATTATCTGCACTTTGCTTTCAAAAGGTTCAGGGGGAAAAAATTAGACACACAAACACACACTCAGAAGGGACAAACATGACAACATGCTGGCAGGTGAAGAGAAGGTGGGTGGTCACATATTCATCTTTCAACGTTTCTATAAGCCAGAAATTTTTCAAAATAAAAAGTTGAGGGGCAAGGAGAAAAAAAAAAAAAATCCCACCAATTCTCTAGTCCCGGTCCTGCCGCTGAGTAGCTGCGAGACTAGGTTACTAACTTAACCTCTGGGTCTCAGCTTAGTCACCTGTAAAATGAAGATAATTGTGGTACTTATTCATAGGTTGCTGGGAAAATTAAATAGAATGATATGTGTAGAGTGCTTGGCACAAGGGCCTGGTGCACATGTCAAGTCCTCAATCATGTCTGCTGTCACCATCATGATCATCATATACTCTCCAAACAAACTCTTACAGCTCAAATATCACACAACGTTTAAGTTAGAGGTCCGTGCTGATTCAAGCCCTGAGGACTCACGAAGACCCATTCCTTGTATTAAAACACAAGAAAAAGTTAACGACGGGGGCTCCTCAAAAACTAATCCAAGCCAAAAAGAGGTTTCCCAAGTCCCAAAGGGATCCTAAATAAACCCACCACAGTTTATCCAACCCTCTATTGTGGGAGTGGTTTCAGTTTGTTTTACATTTTTTGAACAGTATGGCCAACATACTGTTACAGGTCTCTTTGAGCAGGTGGGACGGTTTTTCTAGAAACTGACCTTCTCTTATATACTTATTTCCCTTACTCTTGATTATTCCAGGAGCTGTAACGCTACTGCCTTATGATTTTGCTTTTATTATTACTATTTTCAAATAAGGAAGTAAGATGTGTTGACCATACTGTTCAAAACATTTGAAACAAAATCAACTCAGTGTCCCACAACAGAGGACTGGATAAACTGTGGTAGGTTCACAACATTTGAGTATAGCCATCAACATTAAAATTAATAATTAGATCTCTATGTACCAGCACAGACCTCAAAAAGTTTAAACAGGAAGTTGCAGAATAATAGATACATTCTAAGGCCTGTGTATGTGAATTCTAAAAACACACAAACCAACTTTATATTGTTCACAATAGCAGCAAGACAGTGCAAGTATAAAAACACATTCAGGAAGGATACATGCCAACCTCTCGATGGCGGTTTCCTCTGGGGAAAGAGGGAGGGGATGGGACTGGGCAGGGGAACAAACGGGACCACAACTTCCTCAGTGATGTTTTATTTCTTGAAAAAGAAAAGTGATCTGAAGAACCTCTTCAAAAGCATTTTTCCCATTAAGAAATCAACAGAAGGAAAAGGGAAAACGCAGGCAACCAGGTTCAGGACGTGTGGAACCCGGACCAAGCGGCGGTGACGACGGTCTGTTCACCTCACCCGCGGGGGTCTCTCAGGGGAGAAGAAGTGCCCATCATGATGCCCCTTCTGCTGTATTCCCACGCGCCCACTCTCGGGAGGCCTCGCCTGAGGCCCGTGAGCAGGCTCGAGTCGCATCTGACACGTGGGCCAGGCCTCGCCATGGGCCAGCAGGCAGCCCTTCAGACTCTCAGGGAGGGTAGCAAGCGGTCCTGGTGTGGTCTTAACGTTTCTCACCCTTTCCGGGTTCTCTTTTTCTTCCAACTTACCTGACAGAAAGGGTGAAGTCTCCAGGGTTACTTTTACTGGGCCTCGCCAAAAAACTGCCATCAACTCCTCTTGTCAACAGCAGGTTTTCTGCCTCCACGCCAGTGATGTTTGGGTGAAACCATCTTGAGCAAGAGAAAAATGGAGAGAGCCATGAAAACCAAGGGACTCTGTCACTTCCCACACCATCACACCGAAAATGCCTAGGGGTAGAGCAGCTAATAGAAATATGGGGCGCCTGGGTGGCGCAGTCGGTTGAGCGTCCGACTTCAGCCAGGTCACGATCTCGCGGTCCGTGAGTTCGAGCCCCGCGTCGGGCTCTGGGCTGATGGCTCGGAGCCTGGAGCCTGCTTCCGATTCTGTCTTCCTCTCTCTCTGCCCCTCGCCCGTTCATGCTCTGTCTCTCTCTGTCCCAAAAATAAATAAACGTTGAAAAAAAAAATTTAAAAAAAAAAAAAAAAAAAGAAATAAAAAACAAGGGGCGCCTGGGTGGCTCAGTCAGTTGAGCGTCCGACTCTTCATTTCAGCTCAGGTCATGATCTCATAGTTTGTGAGACTGAGCCCCACACTGGGCTCTGCGCAGACAGGGAGAGCCTGCTTGGGATTCTCCCCTCCCTCTTTCTCTGCCCTTCCCCACCCCCAAATAAATAAACTTTAAAAAAAAATCTTTACAAAAATACAAAACAAGACCTTCCCTTCCTCTTCCCCCTCTTCTCCTTGGTCACTCCCACCCCCCTTGACTTCCTCTTGGTAGGAGCCTAGCTAGCATCCTGCCAGCACGATGGGTGGGGCTGGGGCATGGTCAGTGGGACCGGAGCTGGGGGTTTGGATATTAAGCCAAGCCCAAAGCCCAAAAAGACAGTCCAGGAGATTGAATACATGGAGTGGAATTACACAAGGAAATAAACAAAGAAACTAATGAATAAACATACTGAGGATAACGAGAGCCAGATTTCTCACTGTTGGAGAGGCAATATACATATAGACAGGGAGAACGCCCAAATAAACTCTGGTGTTAGATTAGAAGCGGAGGTAATGTAAACTCTAGCTTTTAACATACATATAGAGATAACTATAGAAATACAGATGTAGGTTTCCGTGTAGGTATGTGCATATGTATGATGCATACATATTTTCCTAGCTCTTTCTTCTAAAAGGGCCCGGAAGCAATGACACCCCAGTAGCCATCAGCATAACCAGCCCCCTTATCATGGTTTCTAAATACTTTTCTCCAACAAAAGGAACCGGGTTTCTTGGAGAAAAAGCTGATTCCAGTTGTGGGCACTAAAAGTAAGATGAATTTGGAACACCTTCCTGTATCCAGCTCCAATGAGGACATGTCAAAAGAATACAAGAGCCAGCTTAAAGGGACTCATACCTGCCAAATTAGACAATTTGTACCTCAAAATTAAAAAAACGATATTGGGGCATCTGGGTGGCTCAGTTAGTTAAGCATCCAACTTCAGCTCAGGTCACAATCTCACAGTTCGTGAGTTCGAGGGCTACGTCGGGCTCTGTGCTGACAGCTCAGAGCCTGGAGCCTATTTCAGATTCTGTGTCTCCCTCTCTCTCTGCCCCTCCCCTGCTCATGCTCTGTCTCTCTCTGTCTCAAAAATACACATTAACCTTTTTTTTGAAATAAAAAATGATATTAATAGAAAACAGACCATTGAATAAAATAAGAAACCTAACAGTCCATATGGATCTCAATTTTTTTTAACTAATTACGTTTCTTCCAAAAATTAAGTATGGACTAACCATATATACCCAAATTCCACTTCTGGGTATATACCCAAAAGAACTAAAAGCAGGAACTCAGATATTTGTATACACATGTTCATAGCAGCACTACTCATAACAGCCAAATGGTGGATGCAACCCAAGTGCCTACCAACGAACGAATGGATCAACAAATTGTGATTATATACATCAAGGGAATATAATTCAGCCTTGATAAGTTAGAAATTCTGCCACACGCTACAACACGGATGAACCTCGAAGACATTGTGTTGAGTGAAACACACCAGTCACAAAAGGGCATATACTGTAAGACCCTACCTCTCCATGATGCACCTAGGGTAGTCAAACCCAAAGAGACAGAAAATAGGATGGTGGTTGTCAGGAACTGGAGGAGGACATGGGAGTGTTAGTGCTTAACAAGCACAGAGTGTCAGTTGAGAAGATGAAAATGTTCTGGAGATGGATGGTGCAGGTGGCTGTCCACCAATGTCAATGTGCTTAATGTCACTTAAAAATCATTAAAATGATGCGGCGTCTGGGTAGTTCAGTCGGTTAAGCGTCTGACTCTTGATTCAGCTCAGGTCATGATCCCACAGTTCATGAGATCGAACCCCGTGTTGTGCTCTGCACTGACAGTGCAGAGCCTGCTCGGGATTCTCTGTCTCCCTCTCTCTGTCCCTCTCCCACTAGCACACACACACACTCTCTCTCTCTCTCTCTCTCAATCAATCAATCAATCAATATTTTTGAAAGTTTTAGGGGCACCTGGGTGGCTCAGTTGGTTGAGTATCTGACTTCGGCTCAGGTCATGATCTCATAGTCCGTGGGTTTGAGCCCCGCGTCGGGCTCTGTGCAGACAGCTCAGAGCCTGGAGCCTGCTTCGGATTCTGAGTCTCCCTCTCTCTCTGCCCCTCCCCTTCTCACGCTCTTTCTCTCTGTCTCTCTCTCTCTCTCTCAAAAATAAACATTAAAAAAAGTTAAAATAAGTTTTAAAAAATGGTTAAAGTGACAAATTTTCTGTTATGTATATTTAACTGCAATCAAATACAGGGGGACAAAGGGAAAGCTCTTTGCAGTAGAAGCACAAAGAATGATATATATTAAATACAGGAGTAACAGAATTAGGAAATCACCTTTTGGTAACTGTCACATTAATAGGTCAGGCAAGAACTGTCACAAGGCACTAAAACTAGTGGGTGAACATTTCAGGAAGTACAGGGTGTTTATAGCAACTCAAAGTACCTCCCCATGAAATGTTTATTAATTACTTATTAATTAACAAATAAAAAATACTCAGGGGCGCCTGAATGGCTCAGTTAGTTAAGTGTCCAACTTCGGCTCAGGTCATGATTTCACGGGTTCTTGAGTTCGAGCCCCACGTCAGGCTCTGCAGAGAGCTCAGAGCCTGGAGCCTGCTTCAGATTCTGTGTCTCCCTCTCTCTCTGCCCTTCCCCCACTGACACTCTGTGTCAGTGTGTGTGTGTGTGTATGTGTGTGTGTGTGTCCATCTCTCTCAAAAATAAACATTAAAAAATTTTTATAAATAAACAAACATTAAAAAAAAATTTTTAGATACAAACTTCACAGTGGAGAATTTGACAGATAACTATCTTAACCAACAGATAAAAGTTAACATCACCAGTTATGGATTAAACTGGCATCACGTGCCTCCTGACATTATGCATGGAGAAATGCAAGTGCCATTTCTGTGATATTCCCATCAAAAATGCATTATCTAGGGGCGCCTGGGTGGCGCAGTCGGTTGAGCGTCCGACTTCAGCCAGGTCACGATCTCGCGGTCCGTGAGTTTGAGCCCCGCATCAGGCTCTGGGCTGATGGCTCAGAGCCTGGAGCCTGTTTCCGATTCTGTGTCTCCCTTTCTCTCTGCCCCTCCCCCATTCATGCTCTGTCTCTCTCTGTCCCAAAAATAAATAAATGTTGAAAAAAAAAATTAAAAAAAAAATGCATTATCTAACCTAATTACGAGGAACATCAGACAAACCCCAAATGAGTGACATTCTACAAGGTCAGATGGAGGTAGAAATTCAATGGTATCATTATAATATAAATTTCCTGATTTTGACAAGTGTACTGTATGTATGTCTATGTTTTTAGGAAATGCACACTGAAGTATTTTATTTTATTTTATTTTAATGTTTATTTATTTTGAGAGAGAGAAGGAGAGAGAGACAGAGCACGTATGAGTGGGATAGGGGCCGAGAAGGAGACAGGATCGGAAGCAGGCTCCTGTGCTGTCAGCGCCCTACGCGGGCGGGGCTCAAACTCACAAACCGCGAGATCATGAGCTGAGCCAAAGCTGGACACTTAACCAAGTGAGCCACCCAGGCGCCCCAACACACTGACGTATTTTAGAGTAACAAGACAACATGCTTGTAATTTACTCTCCAATGGTTCAGAATGAAATTAGACATACAGTGTGTATATACATGGGGGGAGGCAAATGTGATACCATGCTAGCTGGCAAATCTGGGTAAAAACTAAACAGAAGTTGTATCATTCTTACAAGATTTGTATAAATTTGAAGTTATTTCAAAAAAAAAAGTTTTTAAAGACACACAAATAACGAAGTCCACCATGAATGCCGTCCACTTCAGAGGATTCCTCTTTGAGTTTCCAGTAAGATTTCCTTCATGGATTCTAAAAGTCACCAACATTTGTGGTAAAAAGAATAATTTCGGAAGTCAAATTACCCAGGACCTTTACAGACTAATTCAATACTCCCAGGAATAGAAGTCAATTATTAAATGTAGAGTCCCGGCACTGATACGCAAACGAACTTTGAAGAGACTTCTCGACAAATATTGGCCCCATGTGAGTTGTTTTACAACAGTGAAAGAGAGAAAGCAAGGGTGAAAAGCTGTCATAAATCGTGCACTAAGGACATGGACACTTCTGCAGCATCATGGTGAGGGCTCTGATCACACAGACCTAGGTGCACAACTGAGCCCTACCACTCACTAGCTCAGTGACCTGGGCAAGTTCTTTCTACTTCTGATTTATCACCCACAATATAGCAATAATAATTCTTAGGTTTGTTTTAAGAACAAACTGAGGGGGCGCCTGAGTGGCTTAGTCAGTTAAGCGTCCAACTTCGGCTCAGGTCATGATCTCATGGCTCGGGAGTTCGAGCCCCGTGTCGGGCTCTGTGCTGACAGCTCGGAGCCTGGAGCCTGCTTCGGATTCTGTGTCTCCCTCTGTCTGCCCCTCTGCTGCTTGCACTCTATCTCTTGCTCTGTCTCAAAAATAAATAAACGTTAAAAAAAAAAAAGAACTGAGAATCCATACAACATAATATCATTCGGTCATTTAAAAGGATGAAGCACTGATAAATGCTACAATTTGAATGAACCTTGAAAATATTCTG